GTATGCCATCTAGACCTGCAGCCTTGTTGCTTGGAAGCTTTCTGAGAATTTCTTCGACCTCTGCCTGGTTAATGATGTTAGAGATACCGTCTAGCTCTCTAGGATAGATAGTCTCCGCAATATCTGCTATATCTGCAGCCACAGGCTGGGAAAAAAAGTGCGCTGCCATAGCTCTCGCCATATCGGGAGGATCGGTATGGATGATTCCTGCTGTGTCTTTTATCTCCGAAATTTGGGGTAGCCTCTGTCTTTCCTCTGGATATTTTCTTGCTCGCTTAGCAAGTTTCCATATCTTTATTAGGTCCCGGGAAGCCCCAGATACTACTGCCCTCCATCCAATTGTTTTTGCTTTTCTTATTTGGGCCTTTTTCAAACTGATGGTTTTTTGGTACTCAATCCAGCTTTTCTCAGTTCCTCGATATTTACACTCTCTTCTGGCTTTTCGTGTATCTTTTACCGCTTCTGAGCATTGGATCGTCCAATAGAGTTTAGCAAATTTCGAGGGTTTGGCAATAGGTATAACTTCTTTAGTTATCTTCTGGATAGCCTCGGTGATGGACGCTACCCTCTTGTCGACGGTTTGTCGGGAGTTGAGATCCAAGACGTCTGTTCTTAACTCGCTTAGCTGGACTGCCGATCTTTCATTAACTTTTTCCCAGTCTGCCTTTTTCCATTGGGGACGTGGTTCTAGTTTTTCGTTTACTTGTGGCTGGATTGAAATTTGCGTAGATATAGGAATGTGGTCGGAGAATGCTTCAAGATTGCTATCTGGTTGGCAGGTTATGACTTCCTCTTTAAGCTCTTTCGATAGGAAGAAGAGATCGAGCGTACTCTGGCTTCCCCTATTATGCCATGTGATGGTCCCCTCCGGAAGAACTAACTCCGTATCGTTATCTCTCAGTATTTCTATCAAGTCTTCAGCTAGCTTATGATGACTTAGAGCTGATTGCCCCCACCATCTAGGGTGGTGTAGATTGAAGTCTCCCACAAGGATATGTTGGCCTTTTTTACAGAGAAGTTCTGGGAGATATTTTAGGGTCCCTATTTCTATGCTACTGTGTGGTACGGGAGGAGGGTTGTATATATTAGTAACGTATATTTTGCCTTTGTTGGTCTGCATGCTGATGGAGGTTATATCTCCATCCGCCTCTACTGGGATTTTTTCCTTTCCCCAGTTTGTGACTGCGATATGTTTACTTATATATATACATGTTCTACCTTTGCGGCCATCTAGGAATATCAGATGGTAGGCTAGGTGTTTAATTGTGGTATTCTCTGTTGGATGACGCCATGGCTCTTGTATAGCCACTACGTGGTGCTTTAGTGGGTCTAGGGCTTGCAGGAAGTGGTGTTGTACTATATTTTTGCTTTTATTGACGTTATACTGTGTTATGTTTAATATATTTGCACCTTTTATTGATCCATTACGCAGTCCGGTTGTCACGGATCAAGGAACAGGCGCTGGTGCAACTATGTGGTTGATAGTATGTAAATTATCATTCTGAAGAGAAAAATACTTCTGTCTCTATCTATACTTATATATACATTGTCTATGTGGTTGAGGCACAGTCCCTCCCTCTCGGTTCCAATGGGATTCTTCATATGTGTTGTAGCTGTATGGTCCAATACTGCTGCCCTGCCAAACTAGATGCCGATGCCTTGATATTCTGTTGAGTAGCATCATATATCCACACATTGATGTCGATCAATCGTGCGCTACCAATATCAGGCTAGGCTCATGTTGGCCAACATGCGCTACAGGAACCAATCGGCTTACCAGCCGTTACACCGGTGCCCTGTTAGTCTCTTTAGGGTTCTCCCGTGTCACAGTCCGGGGTATATTTTGGGTGAACGACGTCAGCGCACCGGGTGGGGAAATCATTTGGGCCCAGGATCCTGAGATATCGGGGGCCAAGGGGCCGGGAGTCTTGCGTGGCCTTCCAGGACCTCGGCAGGTGCTAGTTGCACCAAATGGACTGATTATTTCCACAACAGATGTACCTGCTCGTCTTTTCCTGGAGCCTGCCAATTGCCACTCATCTTGAAGGTCTTTTTGTGATGCCGCTACCTGTTGATATCTCCCCGGATCACAAGTCCTATTTATTTCGGCCTTAGACTTTGCCGCTAGTTTTGTTGGACAGCTTTGGTCCCGCGCTGGATATTTTCTCCCACAATTACAGCATCTAGTATCCTATTGGCCATGGCATTCTCGGGTTTTATGTCCTCCAGCACATCTGCCACACTTGGATTCAGCTGTGCAGGTCTTAGCAGTATGGCCGAACTTCTCACAGTTAAAGCACTGCATTACCCGGAATCCTGAACGGAATATCTCCGTGGCTTTGACTTCATATTGCCAGACCATATCTTTGGAGATAACTTTATCCGCAGGATCTGCTTGTGAAAACCATAGTATGAACGATCCTACAGTCTTTCCCAGTTGATTTGATTTCTTGAGCCATGTGGCTTTTTGTATCTTGATCCCCTCGACGTATGTTTCGTTTGCCCTTTGTAGTGCAGCGATATGTTCGGGGTTCTCTGGCTTGAATGGGAGTGGCATTCCGAAATATTAATATTAATATTTATATTAACATTTATTAAATTGGGAGGCCTTCTATAGCTGTATGGCTGTAGAGAAGACAGAGGAATTAGCACGGTGGAAGGAGGTCAGATAGAATTAGACGCGACAGTGCGGTAATCACGAGAGTGAGATTGACCAAAACTACTAAGTACAAACTTTCTCCACGCGACTGATCTGCATGAGTAGCATTATTGACGCGACTCCTAAGTTTGACCTTGACTATCTCGGCTAGCTCTTATACCAACCAGACACACCTTGTCATTTAACAATATTAATATTTGATTGGATAAGTGAGATGCTGCAAACCTGTACAACGACAAGAAAACAGGTAGACTTACGATGAACTGTAGAGAGTCACCTATCCAAATCCATCAAAACCTTAGCAGGGTCCAGAGTAGCATTGCCACACAAGTAAGAAGCGAGCACATCGAGCTTAATGCTTACTTATACAGAAGGAACGTGCCAGGAGTAGGAAAACCATGCTGCCAATGTGGATATTCGTTCCAAAATAAAAAGCACATGGTTATGTCTTGTCCAAGATGAGCAAAGGGACGAGGTGAGTTGCTACGAAAATTGACAACTCGATCTTTCGAAGCTATGGTAAATAACGTCAAAGATATGACTAGAATTTCACAGTGGATTAAAAAGTGAGGATGGCTAGAGCAGTTTCGGATGACCGGGGAAATCGAGGCGTTAATCAGGCGAAGAGAGGAAATGGAAACATAGGACAAGGATGGAATCCACATCGGCAACGACAGTGTGAGTGCACTTCCTAGAGGTAAGACTGTAATAGCGTTGAGTTAAATCAGACAGCTAAGGGGGTTTTTACTGCAAGGTTTCCTCTTATGTAAATAATAGAGTTCGTAGACACCTGTATGGGCACATAGGGCGCTAAATCGGGCTAAATGAAATCAAAATCAAAATCAAAATTATTAGTTGATTTTGATTTCATTGTCATGACTTGACGCCCTATGTGCCCATGCAGGTGTCTATGAATTGTAATATTTATACGAGAGGAAAGCTTCTGGCGGGAATCCCCCCTCCCCCAAAACTTCCTGTTGATTATCTGTTATTTTTCTAATGTATATTCCAGAAAGCGGAGTTAAACTATAGTTTCATCCATGTAGGCCAATCACATCTTCTCTATTGTCCCCAAGAATTGTTCGTCTTTTTTGTTCCCTCAGCTGTATTTCGATCACGTTTTTCGTTGTGATTACTCTATCCAACTATGATCTAAGATCTACTTTGTAATTCTTTTGATACGGCATGGATTTTTTCGTCATTGCTACGAAGGAGCTATCCATGGCTTGACTCCAAATCTCTTATCTACTATTTTACCATCAAGGCCAGGACATAACCACGTGCTTCAAGTTCTGTGATTGACAGTCACATGGACAACTAAGACTCTATATCCCGGGTACCTTTTTTCTGTGTAAACACGGGTTGAGCCCCTTTTGCTCACTTCGGATTTGGATCGCCAGACTACTTTTGGGTCCTGCCAGTTTTCGGTGGAGAAAACATGGCGATTCCTGGACATTTATTTTCAAATGCTTCGAATTTCGGTTCCAATTGAACTTAACTGCTCTCAAGGTTTTTGGGTCGGCGATGGCTAGTTGTCGAGGCTGTTGGATTCGCCTTTGCGTTGGCCAGGATTTAGCCCATTATTGATATGCTGTGACTTTTACTGCCTATTTTTGCCGAATTTTGGACTGTTTTTCCCCACAAATTTCCACCTAGTTTGCTAGGTCTAATCTCCTGTAATTTGTTCAAATTTCTTCTCTCCCTCATTTGGACAGCTTGATATTACTACAGGGAGATGGTGTGATCTTTTGAACAGGTAGGTTTTTTGATCGGCAAACGTATTAAAGCTGTTACTGCTTCAGGTATAGTCCTATTGGTAGGGTGGCAGTTTTGTGTTGGAGCACTCTCGTGCTAGTCGATTCATAGGCTCCTGTGACTATTTTTCAGTAGTTTGTCTGGATGCTCTGAAGGGGGTTGACTATCCCATTGAGTAGTAATAGATATCTTACCAATTATGATACTTGAAACCAGTAAATGAGTAACAGCATATGCCTATATCACAAGCGATGCGCTAGAATGGTAGTTCCCTATTCTCGCTAGCATCAAATCGCACCTTCATTGGCCAGAATACAAGACTATCACGCCCATGTACGATTTATCGTTAACCAATACATATCACTCCGTGTGACTAAAGCAAGAATTTAACTTACTTTTTTTATCTATATAATCACTTGCGACTTAAACGTAAAAAACTGATGTAAAGAAGTCAGACACTATGGCAAGTATCTAACAGGAGCTGAACATTCATGCAAGCTCTTGAGAGAGTCTCATCAAGCATTTTAATTGATATTCTGAAAATATCAATTATGGCTTATGAAAAAAAGCTAAGGGCACATTAAATATGCCGGACCAAGAAGATGAACCAGTTCTTAATCGCCAGTCTCCGGGGCTCATGGCGCCATTGACCAACCATGCATCCTGGAAGTTAACGCATCAAGATGGTATCCCCAAATTTACAGCGGTTTCAGCATCATCCAATGTAGATAATAAGTTTACCAGCGAACATGAAAATTCGCTTCACAGGCTTCCTTCGCTACACCATCGATCGATCGAGTATGCAATGCAACCACCTTGCAGTCCGGATGACGAAGAAGAATGTGCAGCTCGCCCATTTCAGCGAAAAACGAGTCTCGACACAGATTCCAAGCGAAAGAAAGGTTCAAAATACGAAAAAGTGGACGATTTAGGTGTTTGCAAGATGCATCGTTTTACCTTGTATGAGACAGCAACTCGTTTTTACATAGTTGGAGCTGATGTAATGGACAAGAAGTTTCGAATCCTTAAAATTGATCGTACTGCTGACAAAGGAGAACTACATATAGCGGAAGATCAGATCGTATATACTAAAAATGAAATGAGCCAGCTGCTTAATACGATCGATGATGGAAATAAATCTACAGGGGGTATGAAGCTACGATGCAGTACATGGGGCTTGTTAGGCTTTATACGGTTTACAGGAATTTATTACATGCTTGTGATCACCAAAAGAAGTCAAAAGGCAATGGTTGGTGGTCATTATATTTATTCCATCGATGGAACTGAGCTTATACCTCTAACAACTGGTTCCAAATCCCGATTTAAGCCAGAGGCTAGAACACCAGAAGAAACTCGCTTCCTCAACATTCTCGGAAACTTGGACTTAACTAGGTCCTTTTACTTCAGCTATTCCTACGATATCACACGCACCCTACAGCATAACATCGTTACAGAGAGAGAATTTGTTGCTCAAGGTAAAACTTTTCCACACAACTTAAATTATAATCAAATGTTTATGTGGAACGATTATCTACTTAAGCCTGCACTTGATATGCTGAAAAATACATATGACTGGTGCCTTCCAGTTATTCACGGTTACATTAACCAGTCTGATCTCGATGTTTACGGAAGAAATGTCTTTATCACGGTCATTGCTAGACGCTCAAGACATTTTGCAGGAGCACGCTTCTTAAAGCGGGGTGTCAATGACCAGGGCTATGTCGCAAACGATGTTGAGACCGAGCAGATAGTATCAGAGGTACTTACCACATCATTTCATGCCCCAGGACCTAGGCTCTTTGCGAATTCAAATTTTACTTCTTATGTTCAGCATCGGGGTAGTATTCCGCTTTACTGGACTCAAGAAAATACAGGAGTAACACCTAAACCGCCCATCGAGCTTAATTTGATTGATCCATTTTACTCAGCGGCAGCGTTACACTTTGATAATTTATTCGAGAGGTATGGAGCCCCGGTTTATGTCCTAAACCTTGTTAAGTCACGAGAAAGAATGCCCCGAGAATCCAAGTTGTTAGACGAATTTACAGATGCTATTAACTATCTCAATCAATCTCTTCCTGTAGACAAGAAGATTATACATAAAGCATGGGATATGAGTCGGGCCTCAAAAAATCCAGACCAAGATGTTATTGGTACACTGGAAAGCATTGCCGAAGAGGTAGTTACCGCTACAAGTATTTTTCGTAATGGAGACGGAAAGACCACCCCCGGAATGGTGCAGAATGGAATTGCTAGAACAAACTGTATCGATTGTTTAGACCGAACAAATGCAGCGCAATTTGTTATAGGGAAAAGAGCCCTTGGCCACCAGCTTCACGCTCTCGGTATTATTACTGAAACTTATCTTGCCTATGATACAGATGCCATCAACCTTTTTACTCATATGTACCATGATCATGGTGACACTATTGCGGTACAGTATGGTGGGTCGCAATTAGTTAATACCATGGAAACATACAGGAAAATTAATCAGTGGACAAGTCATTCAAGAGATATGGTAGAAAGCTTTAAACGATATTACAATAACTCCTTTCTTGACGGCCAGCGCCAAGAAGCATATAATCTTTTCTTGGGAAACTATAAATTTGAGCATGGTAAGCCACTTCTCTGGGATCTCGCCACTGATTATTATCTCCATCATGCCAACCCTAGATCTTTTTCCAGCAAAAATCGCCGCTCCTATATTGAATGGTATACACCAGAAAACTTGAACAGAAGATTATCTCCAGAATACAAAATCACATTCGAGGAAACTGTTGGTAAACCATTAGGATATTTTGATGATTACTGGCTCGAGTACTATAAGCCGCTTGCCTTATCTTCTCTTCAAAAAATTTACTCATATCCAGGCAAAATGAATTCATCCTTACGATATATTCCCGTCCGTTCTATCCATGAAGGAGTATACAGCCTTTCGCCTTTTACAGTACGCACTCACTTCGATCAAGAATTAAAAAGGATAAAACGGGGAGCAATGAATACGAATCAAATCGATGAGCTAGATCAGGTTGTGGAAGATGATAATGCTTCTGTAAAATCAGGAACAACTAATAATACAAAGCGTATTTCAATACAGCGCTGGCTTCAGCCCATCCATGAAATTTCCTATACAGGCCATGCAGTGAAAGAATCAACCAATCTTTCTGAGCCTTCAAAGCAAAAATTAACTCCCCTTGATAAAAATCGTGCAGCTCAGTGGACATTTACTCAAGTAGTGCATGAATCACTTAACCCTAAAGTATCAATGCAGGAAGCAGATGATTATGCTTATTACATTCTACACCCTCAAACTTTGCCGCTGGTCGTCCGAACGGAAACTCCAACAGACAGTGGATCTGAGTACCTGGATTACGTAAATACAAGTTGGCAGGATGTTGGTCTCATGAAGATACCTGACGAAGATAACTCTAGCAGCTGTGGACTTGAAGATTTAGCCGAGTATAAAGCATTCTTAGCTGTTGCTGAGAATCCTTTGACCGTCACTGAAGAAGATTTACCCAAGAAGCGATACAAAGCCTACCGAAAATGGCTAGTCGGAAAAAGTTTATTTAAGCAGCAACCCATTGATTGATAAATAGTAAAAGGACCTTTCATATACTCAAATAAAGCCTGGCGCCGTCACAGAATAAATCTGATTGATATGTGGCTGCAATATAAATACAAGAGCTCCTTGGAAATAGGATATTCACTTTGTCTTCGTTTCTTCCTCCACCTCCGTCAGTCCGAATACGATGATGAGATTCTTATCAAGCTCTAACAGTAGCTCTAGCTCTTGAATTACATCCGGATTTCCAGAGGCTCTTATCGCTTCCACAAAGACCCTTCCAACGACTTTTAGTTCCTCGCAAACCTCTTCTAGTTTCTCATTCCTAATTTGATCCGTATTTCTCTCCATAAAATTTATACTCCAACAGCCAACTATAATCCTAGTAATCTCTCTCCTCCATCTTAATTCTTTAACCCGCGGCCATGCACAGAGTATTATTTCTCGAAGAGTTCGTGCAGCGGTCCACAACAATGTCGGTTCAATGGCCCCCAAAGAATCAAGTAGGACATCAGAAATAAGTGGTACTAACTTATGCAAGTGAGCAACACAATAAATACCAAGACCTCGTACTAGTTCTGGTATTTGGCCAAGGATTATTTCTTTAATTGTGGGATCAGAAGCAGATGAAAGGGTAGTATGTTGGTAAGAAGATATTACTGACTGTAGGAGGATGGTCAGGGAATCACGCCTATATTTCTGACTACTTGAGATACCACAGCCCGTACTTTCTAGACTTGTGGCAGGAAAACGTGAGTTTAGTATCTGAAAGGAGGCGGTGAAGGCAACTGGGAGAAGGCTGAGCGATTCTTCTAGAGGTGTAATAGGTGGTAAATAGAGTAACATGGGTTGGACTGCATCTTCAATGACTGAGCCTAGACCTGTTTGTTGAAGAAGCTTCGGTGTTGATTTCTCCAGAAATGGCAGAAGAATTTGGAGACCACGAAGACGAATTGCCGTATGTGGAAAATCCAGCAATGTTAATATTGGAGGGATCATGAGATTGAAATAATCAAGCGTTGTCTGTTGCTGAGAGACATCTATGGTCAGCGTTCGGCTTGTAACGGGACTTATGGATGCATTGAACTCACAGTAGCGTTTATGACAGCCCATAAGAGGACCGTGCACGAGTGACAGGCATCAAGTCTCCATGGTTTTGACACTCTATCCCAGACACCGAAATCGTGCGGCTTGGGAGGCGTGATAGGAAGTGTCGCTGCGCGACCAGATGCGGTAATCTTTGGTAGGGTGGATGTAAGAAATAATGGACGAATAAAAGATATTAGTATACTATTTTTTATAAATTCTTGATTGCTAATTTGGAATTTTTGGAGGGAAAGAAAATGCTCAGCACTTTGTAGAATGGTAGGTGTAGTCCATGGGTCAACGCTGGAAGTGAAGGCAAGAACGCTCAGAATAATTTGGTCGTCCAACAAAGTTTCGGCAGGGAGAAGGATTCGTAATTGAGCCAGAGATTTGAGACCAAGTAGGGCGATAAGACGGGTTTGATGAAGATTTATTTGTTTGTCGGCAGATATTTTGTGTGATACTACTACAATGAATTTGTACCTCTGAATTAATGATTATTTTGCTCACCGCTAGTATATGAACTTGGCGGAGAGATGAGGTTGCCGTCTGGAGGAATAAGCTTGGCAATTATTCGCATTAATTCTTGCGAAGTCTTTATGTCTGAAGGTGATTTGTGAAGTCGCTCTTCGAGACTGAGACATGAATTTAGCACCAGAATCCGGTTAAGATTTCCCTGAAAATGACAAAAATTACTCCTCACATTTTAAATGGTAGGTTCTACAATTTAAAGCGCACCTCCAGATCATGAGGATTATTTGTGCATTGAAATTCATTGAGTAGTGTGGTCAAGGAATACTGGTCTGGCAGACCTGTTCCCACTAATTAGCTAATTCCGATTAGATATTGTAAGACTATTGCTATACATTTCTGTGGTAGTTCCAATTTTTCTTCTCCTGAGTCCCGATTGCATTTTATCACGTCGGAACTGGCCGTTATAGCGGCACTGAACATTTTGGCTCGGGCGGAGAGTTGTGATCTAATAATGAAAGCGAGAAGATGCGTCGGATTCTAATCATGCCTGATCCAAATCTGGAGATATTAGCGAGGTATGCCAAATTTAGAATAAAGTCACTCGGGAGTTATTACTTGTATGATAGCCTTACTCAATTTTACGGGAGGGCAAGACTGAACACCTGTACGCGGTGTCCTCTATCAACCTGGGAGTGAAATATTCTCCCAGAGCCAAGTTCAGTCAAATTTCGCAATATCGAAGAAGTTGGCCCACGAGGCAAAAATCCAAATTACTCCTCCACGTCGTTATTTCGCTCCCAACGAGTTTGACTCCTATCTTCGTCTCATCGAGTCTACAAATACGACCTAGTACATCCTCATTCCCATGACCACACCACTCTTTGACCTTCTCTGGCCTCAGCTGGTCACCAAATACACGCCCACGCCGATATTTATACCCGACGGAGGAAGGAAAGCGTGGCGCACAAATCTGGGAGACAGTTCTTTGGGATGGATGTGAGAGGGATCTGGACAAGTTGACAAGATGATGCGAAGGACGGATATAACCTCGAAGGGCATGAAATTCTGAATTTTGGCAAGGAGTTTTACGAATTGGGCTTTGTGCGCGCCAAGACTTCGCTTGCGAGAGTGCAGCTGACACTATAAAAACAAGCAAACGATGGAAGGTGTTGTGGTCCGCCTCCTGGTGGTGTTCTCCGGTATAGTTTGAGTAGCCTGGGCATCTACTCCACTTGGGAAGGAGACATCTCAGATCACATATCGCGCGGAGAAAAGTTGAAAGATTATGGAGGCATGTCTGGATAACTCAGGGTTTTTGAGACGTTCCCCTGGGTGGGTATTCACGGATGAGGGTTGACTTGGGGTGAAGAAAAAGCCACCATAACTTCGCAGTGGTACTTGCAAATGAAATCTAAGGCATGAGTGCTATTCCTTAACGATGAATCATTTATTCTGTACTTTTCTTTGATAATATGTCATAGCTAGATAGCTGCATACGCAATTCAAATCTGATAAAAAAAATAAACTCAATTTTACGAAACTATCGGTGAAATATTATCCCTCAGTAGGGACTGTGTTCTGGCCCATGAAGAGGCTTGGAAATCTTCGCAAACACCTGTCAACATCATATTTTTGACCCTTTTTTCTCTAAACGAAGGTCTAGAAAGACTTCAAATCCGGAAAAGACGAGTTCTTCATCTTCTGATATGTGTGTGAGTTAATGTACTACTTGAGTCTTAGACTATCTAGCACATTGGGCTCCTCTCTAACCTAGGCCTCACCTTGTGCAGTGCTCCTTGCCTCTTATGTTACTCGTAAGGTAATTGATATATCGCCCGTGATGAATAGCCATTCAGCTCAGTGTTTACCCGTGTAATTCGGCCACCTTTTCCACGAAACCTTCTACCCAAAAAAATGGTAGCAATGGAAACTGAGTGCGCGGGAAAAAGTCTCAAAAAACCTGCAGCCTCAGCCAGACGAGGCCTAGACACCGGGAACACATGAGGTGCGCATGTTCATCTATATCTCCCTTCTTTGTAACAGTCGAGGCCGACTTGATCTGATCCACCACCGCCGTATCAGATGCTGGATACATTTGTTGGAAATACAGTTTCCTGCTTTTCTTTCTATCGACCAATGTGGTTGCATGCATCTTGCCTGAACTATATTTCTGAGTTCGAGCAGGATCCCACACTTCTGATCCAATCGGACTCAACGTTAGAGTCTGCTTGAATCCCATTCTTCCCGAACAAATCCAGTCATTGGTTTGTTCGTACTTCTATTGCGTGACCCAGTATTCTCAGTCAGTGGATAATTATTTTCTGGTACGGGGTCCCACTTATTTCTGCAGTCGAGTCGGTTCCGGGTAACCTCTATTTCTTATAATTCCACTGTATATATCATAATACCTGTAGTCTATTAGTCAATTAAGCAAACTGAACTTCTTCTCCGTTCTCAGGCAATTCTTACTCCGAAGTCTTCTCTATACTCTAACAACATTCCAGAAACTCATTGGATGGCTTTTCCTCTATGATCAAGGTTTGGTGATGAGAAGGGCTTCGACCCTAACTTCTGATCTGATTGTGGTTAGCCTTATGATGATGGTGATTGGGGGTTGTTCTTAGGGATGAAGACAATACAGACCGCAAAATCGATTGGGAATCCTCTTCGAAGTGAGGACTTTGTTACTCAATCTCGGCTCTGAAGACTCTACGTTAAGGCTAGAGGTTGGTAGGGGCCACCACTAACAGGTAATGTGAAAATTCCCCTAGCACACATGAAGTATCATACAGAAAAGGCTATTCCTTCCCCGACGACTATGTACGACAATAACTCAGTTTGACATTTGGACTACTCATATAGTGGGTGTATTCGCTGATACCACTCGAAACCTTGGTGCTTGGGACTTTCACCCTTCTCTCAACCGTTAATATCCACTTAAGGGAAAACAAGGAAAACATTTGGCTACCCTAACCTGCCTTTGCAATATTGTGTAAAGCCGCCGCGCGAGATATGGCCTCACAGTCCTCCCTTTCTCGATTGATGTAGGTGTCCAGACTACCCAGACTTGAATTCGGGTAGATGACGACTAGGAGGCGGACCAAAACACTTTCCATTGTTGCCTGTTTTTTGAGTGTCGGTGTTACGGTTTGACCGTTGTTTTAGCTTAGGAGGAAACCTAAGCGTTTAATTAGGAATAATTACAATAAGACTGAAAGAGGAAGGATGGGCAAATAGAGATGAAATACCACTACTAGCCAGGAGGTCGAAGCAACATCATAGCGTAATGGCTCCTGGTAATACTTGGCTCAGTAGCAAGTATAAGGCCTAGGGGGAAGTTATCAGTCAGCAGATTCACGAAGCGGACCAAACGTTATAAGTACCTGTTAGTAGTAGCTAGAGATTTCTTTCCTCTTCATATAGTTTAATAAATCAATTTATTCATTAACAACTCGGTTTCTGTCACAGGGGGGATGTTGCGGCCGCTTGGTATTTGGCCCTTGCAGCCTTGTACGCCGGGGTCCACCATGGGGCAGATTTACCGGCGTTTGCTCTAGATCGAGTTCCTGTTGCACTAATGGCAGTCTTGAGGTGGGAGCAAAGTTCTTGTGCGTAGTGTTCGACCTTTTGAATCGTGTCTAGGAGTGGCGGCAAACGAACCAATTAAGCAACAGCTCGCGCAAATTTTGGCAGTTTTTCCCTAGTCACTGGAATCTTGGCTAGCTTGGGTCTTAATACTGCAGACTGGACCGGAACTATGCCTCGGATGGGAAAATGGTCGCTAGTGACACATTGATCACGGTCTACCCATGCACAGCTACCGTTAATGTTGGTCCAGGCAGGGTCCAAGGTATCTCCAGCTTGATGTGTGGGCTCTCTGATGATAAGGCAAGTTGGATGGTGTTCTTCAGCCTATCTTTCAATTATTTCGTCCTGTCTGTAGGGACGAGTAGCTCCTGATTGCCAGGCACAGTACACCAAATTGAAATCACCCGCAGCGACTGAATTTGGCGGCAGGGTCCAATTGATAAGTGGCTGTACGGCTGATATGTCTCTGGACGCCTTGTACACATTGAGGAAAGTGATTACACTCACTACCACCCAGCAATAGTCGCCCGTCAGCTTTGCGCAGTGGAAGAGTTGCCTCGCTGAAGTCGTCCTATCATCTTTCCGGGTGTAGGTCACGGCCCTTGGCCTGACCTTTTTGTCACCATGAGGTAGATGACAAATATATCCAGGATGGGACATTGTCTCTTTCTTCCACCGAGGTTCTTGAATTAGAAAAACGTTGATATTCAGCTCGAATGCTCGGGCGAGTGCAATGTTCAGCGCCGGAACTCCTCTACCTACGTTTATTGACATGAAACTTAGAGTAGAGAGGTGGCGGAAAGGGGCCCGTGTGGCGCCCTTTATGAGTGATTTTTTGGAATGGTCGCTGTCAGGAATGCCTACTGTATAATCTACATATATGGAAATAACCACTCCTTAGCGTTCTATGACTCTGGTCTGGCCTTTTAGCGGAGCAGTTGTGCAATTATCTCATGCATAATCTATAATGGCAACCTCAAGTTTGGCGTTCTTGTTTTGATCCTTGTCTCTGCTCCGCTGTCTACATACCGCTTCTGAAAGTCGCCTCTGTGACCTCATTCACGTTTGGCATCTCATCCGTCATTAGAACTTCAAAGCTGTTGTTAGAGCTGTAGTTCTGTGGACTTATTTTGTCCGTCTCAGCTGCTGCTTTTATAGCGGCCTCTGCTCGTCAAACTGCAGTTTTTGCTCGGATCACCGCGGCACATTTGCGTTGGTTAGCGTTCATGATTCTTTCGAGGGTTTCCTTAGAGGCCATTCCGAACTTGTTAGGGCAAGCCAGGAAATCTCGGCTGTCGGATCTATGGGGGCCACCGCAATTGCGGCACTTGGTGTGTATTTGGTATTCCGACGTGGAATGCATTATTGAGGTGCAGTTCCAGCACACTGGGGCGCACGAGCAACTCTGGGTCCCGTGGTATAAGAGACATCGCTTTCACTGGCTCACAGTTTGGCGTGGCTGCTGGCGTACAGCAATTCCCGAGTCGTCGAGCAGTCGGAGTCCCGGTCGAGGGACGGACGCTCTTTCGAAGTGAGCCACCCATGTCTGGTAGGGAGACCCGACTCGTCCTTTTCCATGAAGGCGGGCCCTTACCGGAACCTTTTTATTGGCTCGGACGATTTCATCTGCTACCATCTCGTCGGTGACAACTACTTTACCTAGGATTGTTTGAATTGCGACGGGAATTGTCGCAATACGAAGAGACACCAAATCTGTTGTGCTGGTGATGGCTAGGATTACGATGCACAAGGGTAATGATCACTGAGGCTGAAGGAAGTACTTTCCAGGTGGCTCCATGATGAGTAGAGGAACAATGTAGCACTGTGTAGAAAGAGTTTCTAGATTGTACTACCAGATGGAGGAGACTAGAATATTCCGTGATACTATTTTG